CGGGGCGCGCGACCTGGAGGGAGGCTGGGGTGACGCGGACATGAGAGTGAGCAAGGGGCACTGCCGCACGGAAGGGCGAGCGGCCCGGCGATGAACCGACGCTGCCGAGAGGGAACCCCTGGCGCCAGGTGGGAGCCCCTCCGTGGACCCCGCTCTTTGCCTCCCCGAGGGGAGGGGGAGCGGAGGCAGAGTGAGCCACCCAGGGGAGCTGGGGGCCGCCCCGGGGGAGCCACTCGGCGCCTGGGCCCCCCCCACCCTGCAACTGGGGTGGGGGGGACCCGTCCTGCACGCCGAGCAGCGGGACCCCATGGGGCTGGTCTGCGTGAAGGGGCCCGGGGGCCCCGACGCGCCTGGCATGCGCACCCACGTGTGGACGCTGGAGGCGGGGATGGGGGGGCATGGCCCCCCGCCCCGTGCCTGCCGAGCTGGCACCGCGCGCGGTAAACCCGTTAATGATCCTTCCGCAGGTTCACCTACAGAAACCTTGTTACGACTTTTACTTCCTCTAGATAGTCAAGTTCGACCGTCTTCTCGGCGCTTGCCAGGGCCATGACCGACCCCGGCGGGGCCGATCCAAGGACCTCACTAAACCATCCAATTGGTAGTAGTGATGGGTGGTGTGTACAAAGGGCAGGGACTTAATCAATGCGAGCTTATGACCCGCACTTACTGGGAATTCCTCGTTCATTTTGGAATAATTGCAATCCCCGATCCCCATTATGAATGGGGTTCAACGGGTTACCCACACCTGTCGGCGTAGGGTAGACACACGCTGAGTCACTCAGTGTAGCGTGCGTGCAGCCCCGGACATCTAAGGGCATCACAGACCTGTTATTGCTCACTCTCGGGTTGAGATTGAGCAATAACTCAAAACCTTTGAGTTTTGGATTCCCCTCCAGGGGCTTATGTTTCTTTATTAACTCCACCCCCTGAGGTTTTTCCTTGAAATGGTCAGAGCTTTGTTTTTTAGGGTGGTGAGGTTTGGGGGGGGAGGGGGGGGTTGGTACCAAAGACATCAGATCTGATCCCTCCTAAGATTCACAATGTCTAACACATGCACACATCATGTCTTACACAGCACTATAGCATTCCCCTGCTGTACAATTCTCTACGCTCTGATTAACGCTTGTTATTGATTGGCATATCTTTACACACTTATTTCTAAGGAAATAGGCACCGCATATTGGCTTTACGCATCTCTAACCGGCTAACAGAGCGTGTGTCAGAGTGCAACAAGCATGCCATTTATTTTCTGCATCCTTGCTGCAAATGAGAAACTCTTCCCATTTTGATGGGTTCCTAAGTTCAGCAAAATTAAATAAAAAGTTCTGATTGGCTCCTTCACTCTAGACTTTCTAAGGGGCTTGCCATTTACAGATCCAACCTTGCTGTCCTGTCCCCGGTTCATTTCTTTTGTTCCACTAAGTTCTTATATAGCAGTTAACATCCATCCCTTGTCCTTTCAGAGCTTCCAGAACTCATGGAGCGAGGAGGTGGGGAACCTCCGAAGAACATGGGGCTTAGCAAACTGCTGAGTGGCCAGGGGACTTTATCCTGAAAAGGTTCAAAACCACTAGATTCATTTTTTATAATGAGCCCTTGCCCAGCTGTGGGAGTCAGTCCTTGGACCCAGCTGGAAGCAGTTAGGTTGAGTCCATCCCTCTGGGCTTCAGGAAGGGCCCCTGCCCACACAGACCTTTATAAACCCAACACAGAGAAGCACAAACTCCTTTGGGTAAAGAGTGTTTTAATATTGTGCTTCCTGACTGGCTGGAGATATTTGCTCAGTCCTGATTTTTGCCTTGAGTTCTGGATGGCCAACCTTCAGCATCTGACTCCAGCTCTCTAGCCCTTCAGATCTTGGCTTTGGCTTTTTGGCTCCCATACCCTGACCTGCCATTCAGGTTATCCACTCATTGCAATCCCTTTCCTCCATTCTTAGCTGAGTACCTACTGAAGCAAAATGGTTTGTCTTCATAAATTTCATAGATGTCACAGACATTAGGGCTGGAAGGGACCTCAGAAGATCAGCAAGTCCAGTCTTCACAGTGGGGTAGATGGAAATCCCACATGCTATGGTCCAGGAGTCACTTCTCCACAATAATTGTCTTAACTTGTGTTTGTGGAGTTAATCTGCCAGTGAGGAAGCGAGCGAGGAAACGCACAACATGTGACAGCTGTCTGCCGAGCTGAGTAATACATTAGTGAAAGTTTCCCAAATGTTTTGGAGATCAAGGTGGTATAAGAACCTGAAAGGAGAAAAGGGTGAATCAAGTTTAAAGGAAACTGAACATTTTGATTTTTTTTTTTTTTAAACAGATGATGGAAGATCATTATTTCAAATATACAGGGCTTTTTCATAAAATTTGAGGGATTTTCATAGCTTTTGCCTCCTTTATCCACTTCATTCTCATTTTTAACTCTAAAAAAAAAAAAAAGGTTGGGCAGAGGAGATGGAACACGTGCACACACAAAACAGGCAACTTTGGGATTTCATGGAAAAATACTAAAGTAGCCTATTTCAGAAGACCCCCCACCCCCCATAAAAACAAGTAGTATCAGACCTATATAATGGTCACTGGGGACCATAGGGGTTGAACTCTCATGGGCAGAACATAAAACTCATTCTAATAGCATCAATATATAATGACCGCTTCCCTTCACTAGGATATACTGTATTTAATGGCCACTTCCACTGCCATTCAAAGTAGAAACTGAGATCATTTGATCCCTGCAGACTCGATGATCTCACGAGGTCCCTTCCAGCCCCTAATGTCTATGAAGTCTATGAAAAAAAGATAGAAGAACATTCAACTGTTGCTTGAGCCAAAGGGCTAATTCCTTGACTTGGAAGCTATGAAAGTTTTTGTGGATCAGGCTCCAAAGCGAGACTCCTAACTCCCAACAAGAAGAAAGTTACAGATACTTATTGAACATTTTGGAAAGAAGATAAAGAGTACTCTTCTCTATGACTAGAGAATTTTTGCACGCATTCCACTTCTGAATCAATCTGCTTTGCGTTATATCAAACTGCAACACTGGATTTGCTTTTAGCTTTTGTTTCTGCTAATTACATACCAAGTGGTTCCTATTAAACTAATTAGTAGCACGGCGTCAGTATAATTAATAAGCAGTAAATATATTTTTGAGGATGCTAAATTTTGAATGTCATGTTTTTTTTATTTCTCACTTGCATTTTCAGGAGACTTCATGTATTTGCTTCAACACTAACAAGGCAAGAAGCTTTGAGGTTTGTTATTATCATCAACTCCTTTCTATTTTGACTGATCTATTAAAATAGTTAGTTGTTGCTATGGAGGAAACAGCAGCGATGCTAGAATGAATATGACCTAATTAGAACAGGCAGTAAGTTTCTCAGCCTTATTTTTTTTTCTGGTCAGAAACAGGTTTGGTGTTAAGGAAAATACATCAGGCCCAAGAGGCTGACTCCAATGACAAGTTTTGACTTAATGTTTTGTTTTTGTCAATTAAAAATATTGCATACCTGCCAGGTTTTGAAAAATAATATGGAGCTAAACTCTGTCTTCTGCCAAGCAAGAAAAAGGCCCATTTATTTTTGTGATGGTAGGGAGGTCTTGTGATGGTAGCACAGAACCAGGCACTGTGAAGCCCTTGGTGCAGACTTCCTACAAGACATCTTGGTGAAATTTGTGGGGTTGTTTTCTCAGTGTAGCTGAGTGTTCCTCAAATCTACAGATATCCATAGATGTCCCATGGCTGATGAGGTGGGGAGAGGGTGTAATCACATCAGATCCTT